GGTGCTTTGCTTTGCTTTGGGGGGATGGCTAAGCCGTGAAACTATACCAGGCTTTTGCCTCTACTAGTGGATGGAAGTTTAGGAAGGTGGTTTTAAATTTGTTGGTCAGCCCATGTCAAAGGGTAGGGTTTGATTCTACACTTTGTGGACGGTGGGGTGTGAGATTTCCCTAAGAGTCGGATGATGTCGGTGCGGTGATATATACCCGGCCCCGTACTGACTAGTAAACTCCCGTGTTGCCGCCGCTGTCGTTGTGTTTAGGTTCTGTGCGGGAAGTGGTGTCGTCCGCACAGTTTTGGGGCTCTAGGTATGGGGATGGTTTTGTTCGATGGGTCTTGTTCTCACCTTTGGATCCCTTGTTTTCCAGAGTGTGGAACAACCCCGGACCCCCGTACTGAGGGCGCAAAGTCATCCCGCCGGGCTGTGCTGTCGTGCTGGGCCCTGATTGGTGGATCGTTTTATGTGTATGACGGTGTACTGTTACAGTGTGTAGATACCATTATATTATAAATTAATAGTACCTACCTAGTATTATATTATTTATTACCACTAAAAAAATAATAAGAAATACAATTAATAAACCATTGTCCATTATTCATTAATACAATATTAAAAATTGAAAATATAAGTATAAAGAAAATTCTGACTAATTAATTTTTAACTTGTGTTTTTCATATCACATTTAACATTTTATGATAAATTAAAAATTGCGCTATGCTTACTGTTTGAACTTTTATTAAAAAACATTAAATAATTTTTTTAGGAAAATGTAGTTTTGTGACTACTGATCGATACCTTACCTATTAAGAAACTATCTTTTTTTTTTATCTAGATAAAAATGTTTAATATTTTATCTTTATCTAGATAATTAAATTGTGATGTATCTTTTATCTTCATCTAGATAAATTTTCTGTCAATTATCTTTTATCTTTATCTAGATAATTAAAAAATTATCTTTATACAACACTGTTAATAACTCAACAACACTAGGAGGCACCGCCATCGATTTGACTTTTTCAAGACACATTAAAGTCGAAACACTCCCTTTCATTTCCTACTTTTCCTATCATCGTCCTATTCTCAACAGAATAACACGAATTGGAAGGAGTTAAAATATATCACACATGTTTAAAATTTGTAAAACAATTGCTCAACGCACTTTTTACAATTCATACTTTTAAAAACTATCAAATTGTAAAAAATAAAAATTGACATAATTTATTGTATTTATGCGTACAAATAAATGTATCTTGATCAATTCCATTGTGATTTCCATTTACCTTCTTCTCTATATACATACAAATCTATTAAACAAATGAAATTAAAATTTACTTTTGACAAATGCTACCATTCCTTCAGTATTTTCTTAACACGTTGTCACGTTCAACTATCGTCAGTAAACCGACTTTACAGACAACCGATTTTTTTTTCAATTTAGGATGACATTGTGTCTAGTTCTCGGCGTGAAAGGTTGACATCCATTTTGGTATACCTATCGCCTCGTTCAAAAACATCGTGTTCCTTGTGTAGTGGTGTGTACACTTAATTTTTATACATCAACTTCAAAGTCCCTGGCGAGTAAAGCTTACATGTATAACCTTAATAGTACCTAAGTATTTAACGCTTATGACGATATTACTTAAAGACCAAAGTTTAAAATACCTACCTAGGTATTGTTATCGACCGTTGTCTGGTAATTAAACGAACACAACACGATTGATTTGAACGATTAATACGGTGCCTTGCGATTCTTACCACCCGGCTCTTGATATTATGGTAAAATTGGATAATGTTTCCCCTTTATTAGATCGTTCCCATAAATATTTCGACTTCCGCCATGCTCCCTATACAGAAATTTGTAAATTACTAGATTCATTTAATTGGTTAGAGACCCTAATGTCTCTTGATGTCGATAAGGCAGCTAATGCACTTTATGATGCTTTGCACTTTTGCATTTTAAACTTTGTTCCAGAAGGGTCTTACGTACCTTCCACATTTCCGAAATGGTTTTCTAGTAATCTTAAACATATTGTTTTTAATAAGAAACGAGCACATGCAAAGTTTAAAACTTCACATTGCCCCCTTGACTATGCATAATTCTCTACACTTCGAGCTTCTTACAAGGCTGAGTATAAGAAATGCCATACTGCCTTCTTGTCTCGTACTGAGTCTATGCTGAAATCTAATCCTAGGTCGTTTTGGGATTTTGTCCTAGTTCATAAGTCAAGCAATGAGATTCCCCCCACGGTACATTTTGAGAACATAAAAAGTTCGGGCAATGAGTCAGTTTGAATTTATTTTCCCAATACTTTAATTCAGTCTATGTTCCACCATTATCTATTGACTCTCCATCTTCATTCCTGTGCCATGACCTGCCTAGCACTTGCTTCTTCAGCATCGATGATATTGATGATGGCCTAGATGCTCTAAAAAATGTAAAAGTCAGTAGGCCCAGATGGCTTATCAGGTATTTTCTTGTACAATATTAAATCTTCGCTATGTTTTCCACTGTGGCTACTTTTTAGGCGTTCCATTGATTGTGGAGTTTTCCCATCTATCCTTAAGATTAGCTCTGTCACTCCTATTTTTAAATCGGGTGATAAAAACGATGTCAAAAATTATAGACCAGTTTCAATTTTGTGCCACATATCCAAACTTTTCGAACAACTGGTATTGAGAAATATTCAATCTTCTGTTAATTCAATTCTAATTGACGAGCAGTATGGGTTCAGGCCTGGTCGCTTGGCCACTATGAATTTAATGGTATTTAACAACTTTATTTTGGAGGCTGTTGAAAAACACATCCAAGTAGACGTTATTTACACAGACTTTGCAAAAGCCTTTGATAGTGTTGACCATGGCTACCTAATTGATGCCCTATATAAGTCCGGGTTTGGCGAACCACTGCTGTCGTGGTTCAAGTCCTATCTATCCGACCGAGTTCAATGGGTTAAAGTATTCGGCTGTAAATCTTCCATCTCTAAAGTCTCTTCTAGAGTTCCTCAGGGAGGACATCTATCCCCGATCTTGTTTTCACTGTATGTAAATGGCATCAAAGGGGTTATCAAAAATTGTGAATTTCTCATGTTTGCTGATGACTTAAAACTTTTTAGAAAAATTGAAAACTTATCTGACTGCTCTGCGCTCCAGGATGACCTAAACAACATGGTTGCATGGTTTAATACTATTGGTTTGCAGTTTAATGTGAACAAATGTCATTCCATGTCATTTTTTAAACGCCGCTCCCCTATCAGTTATACGTATGCAATCAAAGGTTCTAATGTGACATCTGTCAGTAGTAAGAAAGATTTAGGTTTTATTTTTAATACTGACCTGAATTTTCACTCTCATATTGAAATGATATGTTGCAAAGCTTTAAAAACGCTTGGGTTCGTAATACGTATTTCGAAAGAGTTTAATTTATATTCTTCTATGAAAACAATCTATTGCTCTTTGGTCCGTTCCTTATTAGATTATGCATCTGTCCTATGGGACCCTTTTACGTTAGCGGACTCCTGTCAATTAGAACGTGTTCAGAGACGATTCCTATCTTGTGCAGCTTTTACATTAAAAATAAAACATCCTCCCCACGACTACTCTATAGTTATGCAGGAATTAGGTCTCGTCTCATTAGCAGACAGGAGAGTTAACACCAACGTAGAGTTTTTGAAAAAACTTCTGGATGGTCGCTTTGATTCTCCCTCACTTCTTGCATTGGTCAATTTCAAGGTCCCTATTCGACACCATATCCCATTCTTAGTTTCTACGCACACTACAAATTATGGCAAAAATAATCCTATTGATCGCATGATGCGGCAGGTCAATGAGAGTACCATTTACCATAATATATTTTAATATTTTATTTTTATTTTTATTTTTATTTTTTGTTCTACTTTAATATTACTAATTCATATTACCTATTATTATTATTATTGTTGCTTTTATTGAATTATTATCATGTTTAAACTTTTATAGTATCTTAATTCGTACTGTCCTGTGTTAAATTGTTGTAAAGGGCTTGTCCGTAAATATATATATAAATAAATAAATAAATAATGAATAACTTATCAGTTGTCAACCAAAGTTTACGGATTACTAAAATTTTATGTTATAATAGGTAGTTATAAACTTATAAATTAAGTTTGTATTTGTAACTGTAAGAGCGCTTTCAGACGAGACACTTTGTTGCCGGCTACAAGAATCTTGCCACTGTATACAAAAAGTAGACATTGCTTCACACGAGACACTACACCATACACTCTAGTCCGATTCACTACGTTGAAATGTATAAAAATGTTTTCCAGACGCCTATTCGTGGTGCGAGCTCTTGGTTTAAAAATACTTAAATACTAAAATACGTATACATTTTTTATTTAGTTAATTTTTTTAAATGGACGTGGATACAGCAATCATGCTTTATGCCTTAATAATTAAAAAACGAAACAAAAAAATTAAAAAACAAAGACTATTGTCAGTCAAAGAAATAAAAAAAGACATATTTTTCAAAATGTATTTCCTGATCTCTTACAATACCCTTCAAAGTTTTTTAATTATTTTCGTATGTCAATTAATTCGTTTTTTGAATTGCACGATGCTATAAAATATGATATCCGAAAAGCGGATACAAATATGCGCAAGTCGATAACTACGGAAGAACGATTAGCTGTAACATTAAGGTAAGTTCATTTTTTATCTATATAGATAATTAAGATATAAAACGTACTATAAAAACATTTGAATTCAATAAGTAACACTGACATTTATTAGAGTTAAAATGATAAATATAACATTTACATTTATATAAAAAGCAACTAAAACATACTCGTATAAAATATAAGAACAGTTGAAATAAAATAAAATAAAAAATAAACACCTTTGTAAAAATAATATTAAAATAAAATAATAATGATAAAACAACTTGCTATAAATCAACCAGAAATATAAAAGTTAAAGAAATAACTTAAATAATAATAGATAAACAATTTTATTTATGTTATGTATCAATCATTAATATTGTAATTATTTATATATGTTACTAAATTTGGTTCATTTGATGACTGATTAGAATATGTTTCAATAGGAGAGACGTAGCTTTGTGACGATACTGATAGAGAAGTTGACCTCGATGTTGATGAGTGATTAGATGAACAAGGGCTAGGTTGTTGTTCCCCAGTTATCACTAATGCTTGTTGAAAGCTGGATTGTGGACGGTGATATTGAGTATTATATTGTGTATGGTGAATTAAGGGTGACATGGGGATACTGTACTGTACTGCAAAATTCACCGTCATGCCTGGAGGTTTTTGCATCTGCAATCCATTAGATATAGCTTGCATAATATTCGATTTTACTGACATTTTTAAATGGGCAGGTACTTGCTTAAGGTCATCAACAAGTGACAACATAAACAAGCGATCTGGATCTTCCATGTATACTTTTTCTCTGCGTTCCCTTTCTTGTAAACTTTTCGTTACAGAGTTTAAAAATTCATTTTCAATAGTTTTTTGCTTTTTGGCGGGTTTGTGACGTAAAACATTTTCTAAAACTTCTCCAGTAGTTTCATTCAAGTCGCTATTAACTTCTTCAATGTCATTTTCATTTTCATCTGGAGAATCATGTGATGAACTTAAATTTGAAGTTGTCAGTTTATTTGCTGCACAAGAAGAAAGAAACGATAATTGATTATAATAAACATATGTTTTCCATGTACTTCCTCCTGACCCAGATTTCAAATTCTTTCTTTTAGCCTGTTCTCTAGAAAATGAGTTCCTCAAACCCTTCCATTTTCTTTGTAACTCTTGCACTACGGTGTAAAACATTTCATAATTTATATTTTATTTGTAGGTTAATTATTTTTATTGAATTATATAAATAAAATAATAATACATTTAGTAGAAGTGTCTTTAGATATTTTTTGTTATTTGTCGAATATTCTTTATTTCCAGATATCTCGCGTATCTATCATAGTTTAAAAGTATACCTCCAAGTACAAAATATAATATACAAATATGAAATAATTTATATAAATGATATAATAATATGATAATAACATTTTCTACAATCATAATAATATTATTACGTTAGGTACTAAAAATTTAATTCTATCCATTGAACATGCATCTAGTTATCCATCTGATGAAGCATCGGATTGATGATTAAGGAACACTTTTCATTTTTATAATAAATACATTTTAATAATTTGAAATCAACACAGATTATGTTATCAGGGGCTTGTTAGTTGTTATCATTTGTATTGTATATTATATTTTTTACTTATTTATGATATTTTTGTAATTTAACTTTAAAAACTGTAAACGTTAAGTACTGAAGTACCCACCTAAGAAATCAAGATGGATATTTCAAATAAAGTGTTGTTATGCTTATTAAAAACATATATTCGAATACATAATAGAAAGAAAATAAATAAGTGTCTTGTTTAATTATTGAAAGAAAAGGGCTATCGAATAAAATGCTTTATGAGTACCGTGTCCAATTACAATGGAGTTAAATTTCGAAGTAATTTTCGTCTCTCAAGATCATCTGTTGAAGTATGTAATTTACCTCATAGGCGCAATTAGACTTTATTTTTAGTAGGTAAACTTCAACATTATTACATTATTAAAGTAAAACTTGCTTTCCGTTTCCCACATAAAGCATTACGTTCTTTTGAGCATCTTTGCAAGTTTTACTGCATTTATTTGTATACCTATTAACTAATATATTACACTTTCAAAGTAAATAATTGACTTGTACATTACAATACATAAAATTACATTACAATACTTATCTTAATAATTTATAGCCCATGTATATTTATTTTTGATTAGATTTTATCTTCAAAAATCATTAATAGGTAGGTATGAAGGAAATTATACAGGGTGATTCTTTTATCAAACAACACTCATTATTTGAAAAAGTATTGACTTTTCAAATTTTTTTTTTTTCAAAATTGTAGATTTATGCTGTTCTAGAATTGTATATTTTTTTATATTTTTCACCCTTATATTTAATAGGTAAACCACTATCAACTTTTGATTTTCAAATGGTAACCTATACTAAAAATTTCATAATTGAATAAAACTATTTTTTTCATTAATTATTACGTTCAAATTTTCATTTTTCGTTAATACGTTGATGAGATATTGCTCCTCAAAGTTAGGTGGTTTTTGGAGATAGTTATAGTGTGTAAATGTGTTATACCTCGTCAGTAGATACCGCAGCTATCAGGATTTTTATGTCCCAGGGCAAAATATATCACACTTTTCAAATCAGTTCATAAAGTACTTAGAGCCCCTAAATGTATTTTATTATGCCCATCTTTCGGGGAGTCATGAAGTTCACCCCACGAAGGTGATTGCGGCACTGGTCAGTGGTCGTAATAATTATTATCAATTATAAAGACCAGAAGTTACAAGTAATAAATTCGATATCGTTCGACCCAAGATATAGCGGTGATAATCTTTGTACCTGACAGCCGATAATACCTACATACAATAACAAACGATCATATTATTATTGGTCTGCTTCTGTTTGTAGCTTCGATCACAATTTAATCTCCATTCTATGCTACGACACACCATAGACTAACATACGGAAATACAGAATTATTTTAGTCCATAAAAGTTAATGTTGTCCATGGTTTATCATTATAACTGTCTATCATACAGAAAATACAGTGTTACCAACATGTGTATTTAAAAAATAAATAGTAACAGTAACTTGCTGTTTATTTATGTCACAAATAAAATCCCGTTTTTGTTACTCTAGTAGACTGCCTGTACTACAGTTGCAACAACTGTTAACTGTTTTATATCGCTGCTGTAGTAGTGTACACTGTACAGTAATTTATTGTCTGTAGTTGTCTGTTACTCGTTACTGACTATTATAATTTATAGCATGGTGCATACTGCATAAATATACAATATATGATATAATAACCATATTTAATAATGGACCATAATGGCAAAATATTAACAATAAATTAACTTAATAGGTAACTTAATTTTTTTTTTTATACATATAACTGTGTATAGCTTTGGTAGATTTAACTAATACAAAATAATGTGTTAATTATTATTATAGATTTAATATATCTATTTTATGCTGTTTACCTTTTGGATACTTTGAACATGTAAATGCCTATTAGGATTTAAGTTTTTTAGTGATAATTTTTTTTTTTTTTTTTTTTTTAACAAATCAAATATCCTCTTCTCATATAAAATATCATTTGAGCATGTTTATTACAAATCTGGAAATACAATACTCTGAACTAATTTAATATTAAGTATAAACAACTCTTTTTTTGATGTTTGCAATTTCAATTTAATACATTTACAATTTCAAATCAAATATTAGTATAATATAAATAATTCACCATACATAGCTTCAATAGTTGTAATATACCTACTTTGTAGGACTATGTCTTTTTGACCAATCACATGAATTTAATCAATATGTAGGTATTTAAATAACAATGACATACATCCAAATATACATATAGGGCACTGATCAACTTATATAATTATATTTTATGTAAAAAAAAAAAATATTTTCAATGTCGTGAATAGGGTTTGAGACCATTGGCGTAACTAGAGGATGCAAACGGGTCTTTAGCACCTCTTGTTTTTTTAGATTCATTATTAGATATCATTATTATAGTGAAATACCCCAAATTTAATGTTTTTAAAATATGAAATATTATAGCACCCCACGTTTTAAATTTTTTAATGTAGGTATATTTTCTACTTTAATATGATGCAAGTGATAACCACTAACAAAAACTAGGGAGAGAATAACCATTTTTTAGATTGCTTAATTTTGATTATTTAAATGTTTTTTTAAGCGTTTGATTTGATGATTTTAGGTTCTGTTTAGCCCTGAACCCTGTTCACGGCAAAATTCCTCACATATTATACTGATATTATTATGAACCATTAAACAATTTTACCTTAATAAGCCTAGGACTATGAAAAACCTATTTCAAAATGATGATACAGTTTAATCTAAATGTTCGTTTTGCAGTTAATATGCAAAATATGAGTAAAGATAAAACGTGTATTCAAAAAATTAAAACAAACTTTTCAATCACCCCAGACTTAAAAAGCAAAATTTAAAAATGGTGTTAATAATATTCTAACTTGAATTTAGTACTAATTATTATTTGGTGACAACACCAATCATTGACAGAAATAATTTAGTATTTATCATTATGACATTATACAATGTAGCACAGTAGACTAATGTTTTTGGATGTTTAGATTATTATATCTCTTTTGTTAAAGGGCTTGTCCGTAAAAAAAAAAATGTTAAAATAAAAAATAAAAATAAAATTATTATTAATCACATAGCCAGCTAAAAATTCTTAATTTGATTTAGGACATAATCTACATATTAAACACAAAATAAATATCTATATGACTATATCTATGTATATTATCTTTTAAGTTATAATGATTGATGTTGTCACCTAATTTAAATTATTTATAAACTAGCATACAAATTATAAAGCTTTAACATTAGCACAATTTTTAGTTTTCAATACATTATTTTTTTTTTTTTTTCATTCCGAAAATTGGTTAAAAGATTACTGATGTCCCTCTCCACTTATATTCCTCTTCAACTTCCAGTATGTTCCTATTCTGGTATCTTCAATCACTTGCTTCAGAAATGGAGTTCTAGGCCTTCCTTTTCCAGGTTTCCTCCTGATTACGTGTCCGATCCATGCTTTTCTTCTCAATCTTAGTGTACTCTGTATTGATTTTTGATTCTCCTGAATACCTCAACATTTTTTTTATCTTTTCTGTCTATTGAATTTTCAGCGTTTTCCAACATCATACTTTAAAAGCTTTTATTTTGGCTTTCTCAGTCTTCAGTAGTGTCCCAATCTCTGCTCCATATAGATTCCACACAAAGCCTTTTATAAGTGATTTTCTGCTGTCCCAACTTATTCTATTTGAGGTAAAAAGATTAATTTTTTTATAGTAGGCCTGTTTGGCATGCGCTATTCTACATACTGTATATGTACGACTTTTCTCATCGCTTGTGATTGAATAGGTATGTGAAGTTTAAGTGTTCTCTAAGCGTGTCGTTCATTTCTTCGAACATGTTAGTTATGTCTTTTTCACTTTCTGCAATTACAACAACATCATCTTTTCAATACATATTATCATTGGTAATGTGTAGTTATAGTCCAACTAGATTTTCTACTTCTTCCCAATAATCCTGATTATTTAAAATATTTGTATGTCAATATAATAATTTAATAATATTACAGTTAAAGATATTAATACTCACTTAATTTATTTTATAGTCTGTTGAAATATTTAAAATATTTAAAATATTTAATATTGAATATGTATAATATTGATTTTCCTGATTTACATATTTCATTGTGAAATCTACTATCAGACAACATTTTAAAGACCCAGTTTGTGCTTCAAATCATCTGTCTTAATAGACTATCAATATGCCACATTTAAATGTGCAAGTAAAATACAAAAAAAACTCTCAGAAACATCTTAGATGGTTGTAACTATAATTACCATAGTAATATTCCATTTTGTATTTACTACTAAGTACCAGTGTTTCATTGGTTAGGTAGACATTTGAACAAAAATTGTATATGTATAAATGATTGAACTGAAATCAAAATGTTTTAAGTTAATGAGATATATTGTTTTATTAATTTTAATTTTTGAAACTACCAACTAGTAAAACTTACCAATAGGTACATTGTATAAATTGAATTGCAAATTATCCAATTCACGTGCGATTAACCAATTTAGGTACTTAAATGTTTGATTAAATTACTAAATAAAAT